CACCCATTCTTGTCAGAACCACACTTCTGAAACTTGCACATGGTGTCACCACAAGCCCTCTCTTTAATCATTTAATTTAAGTTGTACTAAACTTTTCCAAAGTGTTGTTCAACTTGTATCATTACTATCATACTGTAGGCCTATGTCTGTTTACATACATAAAAGGTTGATTTTTAAACAGTTGATTTTTTTAAGTGTATCTGCACCTGTCATTCAATCATTTTGCACAACCGGTACCTACCACGTACATGTAGTTTCATTTATCTGAAGTTTCCTCATTCAATGGAACATGTGACAGAAAGGTGGGGGGCATGTACATTGTGTACATGTACAGTACATTACAGGTACATGTCTTTGTAATACGAGGGGGAGGCAGGGGCAAAAAAGCCATAATTTTCTACAACGAGAGAGAACAATGCCTTCTGATATCAAACCTTATACATGTCATTTTATACTAGCACTGTCTTGGAGGTAGGAAGTGGCTTGTGGGGGGGGGGAAGGGAAAGGGAAGGAGGCAGGGGTGAAACTTGCCCCCCCCCAGATTTTTGACCAAGGCTTTTCATATTTATTTTCTCTTCCAACACCATGTTCAACAGGCCTGAAGTGGCATTCGCTTTTGAATTCACCCTAACACTAAAAGCTGGATACACATGTATGCCACTGGACGTACTGGGCAGGCTACAACCAGAATCTATTCTTTTAGTGTGACTGTACATGTACTTCAAACTTCAAATTTGGCTAACCTCAGAGCCAATTTTAAGACTTCACTTCAGTAAATTATTCAGTGTGTCTACCCTGTAGGTCTGGATAGACACTTACTTGGTCCAACAAATGTGACCCATCCTAATAAAATGTTTTCAAGTCCTTTTAAGCCATTTTTTCAAATGTTACCAGTCAATCAATCAGAACCCTCAGGATCATTTTCCACCCAATTTTCGTGAGGAAAGTCAAAATCAAAAAGTTAGTTACCAATGTCCGTTTGTCTAAAGTGTAGACTAATTTTGCGGGATGTAGTCCAAAATAAATTTAAATCTTTTTAGAAAAACAACCTCAACTGTCCAACTCTTACCCCTGAAACTATGGGGTTTGTCACATTCTCAAAACACCATAGTTCTAGGGGTAGGGTAGCCAACTCTACGGGAAAACATTCCATGAAGTCAACAACCATTTGACGATGCAGCTTGGTTTATTTACACAAAACCTGTACCCAAACTTTGAGCTCTATCCAGTGATTTTTTAAACTTTGGTCGGAAGTGCTGGGGACCAAAGTAAAAAAAAAGAAATCATTAAAAAAAAAGAGCGCAGCGCCTCATTTTTACTGGGTCTGCCTGTCAACTTTGATACCAGTTGGGAGAAATTTATATCTTTTGCAAAATACAATTCTGTCAATTTCCATTATACTCTCTGGTACAACTACCGATTGGATCTAGGGACCAAAATCATTCATCGACAATCCGTGGAGAGTGGCGTGCTAGTTTATTCTGAAAATACTTATCTTTCTCTGTATAATGTTTGCGATAAAGAATTTATTCAAAAATGACAAAATAGTGCCTGTCATTTCTGTACTGTACGTGGACAGCACTGGAGTTACCTAAACTTCCAGACCCCTACGGCCCTAGATTGAGAGTGAAGTCAGGCTAAAGTATTTTCAAGTTTATGATTAATTATATAATTTATATGGAAAAGAAACTATGATTAAAAATCAAATTTACGTTCCAACACCGTGAACATAGTGAAAATTTACTCACATTTTAGACGACAGAAGTTGATATGAAGTTGACTCCTACTCGTACAATGTAATCTTATCTTGGCTCAACTCTGAAATCGTTAACACTATCGCCTTTCGGCTACATTTCGCTGAAACAGGCCTGTCTAAGCTTCGTGATTGTCTGGAATAAAAACTTCCTTGTGAAAGTACTTTTGTGAGTTTGGGATGTCATGTCTCACACCCTGCCACACGTGTCACGTGTGTTCATAAAACAGCATGGATGCATCGTTTCACCATGCATGAAATTAGACCCACAAGTTTTACATAATCGTCTTCGTGTCCTTCCGTCCACACGCGGCAAGCAACGTGAGCGCCGCACAAGATTAGTACGTAGGATCGTTATATTTTTCCTGTGGGGTAGAGATTGTGGGCGTTTTTTAGAAGAGGTATAACAGTGAACATGGCAGCACTTATTAATAAAAGATATAAGGCATACTAAAAATACTTATTTTTTCTAATATTTTGATATTTGGCTTTTTTTCTGAGATGCTTTCAATTCTTTTATTTATGGTGTACCTCTCGGCCCGCGTCCCTAAACACCCTTCTTATAAGAATCGTTTATTCTTTTATGTTACTATTATTTAGAGAATGCTTAATGAGCAAAATGAGGTGGGTGGAGTTTTGCTCGATTGGATGGGGGTGGTTAAACATACATCAGCCCCGTCTCCCTCCTTTTCTTCTCTCTAAAAGAACTTCTCCGTTATTGTTTACTTCCTTCCGTGGATTTATGTCCATACATTTTCTTGTTTCTTACATCATCAACCATAGTCGTAAATCCCGAAGGCATGGGGTATATACCCCCCACTTTTTTGCGGGGGCGAGGAATGGGTTATTAATCAACCCCACACACCTTTTTGTGGTGACCAAAAAATTTAAGTGGTTTCTGAAGAATTTTCAAAACTTCCATGGCTTAAATGCATTCAACATCATTCAAATAAGGAAAACAATTTTTAAAAGCCCTAAATATGCCATTTTCAACACATATCACAGATATACCTTAATATCATAAACATCGACCTCTATATAGAGTCATAAAGTCACCCCCTCCCCTTCAAATTTTCATATTATTCCCCCCCCCCCACCTCCCCCATCCCCCACCTCCTGGCAAAAATTTACGCCAGCATTTACGCACTATGTTAGCTCACCTTTGATGACAACTGATGCCGTGTGGTATTAAAAGAAGCCGAATGACAAAATCGCCTCCAAGGTCATGCTGGATTTGGAAGTTGTAGGACCGTTTTCAACTAAAGGCCTAAAGTACATCTTGGCGATTATCTGACCATGTTAGCAATACAATTAACATGCTTCCAAAAGTTGTAAGTTGTTGCATCCCAATTTTTTTTAACTCTTCATGAAAGACTATTTTTGCACTGGTTACTGGGGGGAAAGCCATCAGTGATCATCAACACTGATAGTTGCTCGATGCTCGAACTGCCCACAGTGAGGAATGCCTCGAACACGCCCACCTACCTTGTGCATGGACTGCGTCATCCGCTCACAATAGTTCGTATTTTACGTTACCTCGAGTCTTCAAAGGAAATCAGAATACACAAGGAATAGTAAAAAGAGGAATTTCCACCAGAAATGGGTTTATGGGGCTTTTTACCTATAAACAAGGAGGCAAGATTGTATTTCAGTGAAAACTTCAACACAATGGGAAATGGAGGCGGGATTTTGCAGCTTAAAAATGCAGGGAAATATTGAACAAGATGATACACTATGTTTGCCATGATTAGGCAGGACTACGGCCATTCCTCTCCATCCTCAACGAAAAACCACACCCTCCTCGCAAGATATGTCTCTTTCATTCAAGTAAAAATCTTGGCTTTTGATAATTTCATGATATTCCTCCTCATGTCAAGTTCATTGTAAGTTTTTCAAGGTATGTTTAATTATTTCAAGAAATCTTAAAAATATAGTGCCATTTCAAATCCTTTGTTTCGAGATACCTCGAAAACTAAATCTTCAAGATATTTCATTTCAAGATTTGTCATAATCCATTTTAAGATACCTCCAAGGTTATTTCGAGATATCTCGAAGTCCCTATTCAAGATATCTGAAAATCGTTTTTCGAGCTTTCTTAAAAATAATTTCGGAATTATCCTGAAAACGATTTCCAGATATCTTTGTTCTTTCTTTGTTTTGTTTATCAGAAAAACACAAACATACATCAGAAGGTAAAAGCACGAATCATACAAATGAAGGAAATTGAACAAAAGGAGATAATTAGAAAGTATCATAGAAGAGGGAGCCATGAAGAGATGTAGAAAAATGGACACTATACATGTCCATTTGAAATGATTGCATAAAGTTCACCGAATTATAATTGAAATTTCCATTTTTATAATGAAGACTAAGGGTTGATTCTTCATAGCAATCGTATATTCTATATCATTTGTAAAAACATTCTTAACCCCAAAGCATTTGTGTCTAGTATTTACTTATATACATGTATTAATAAAACTTAGTGCAAAGAAAAACATTAGTCAACAAATTATTGAGAAATTGAGAATTCAAATTTCTCATACTGAATAGGGTCTTTGAGATTTTGATTGATAAAAGACATGAGGTCTGACAAGATTGGTGAAACATGATCACACTCATAAAAATATTAATCGAAGTGTTGGGAAATTTATCACAAAAAGCACAGTTAGAATTTTCTTCCAATTTTAAAAAGAAATGTATTAAAAGCAATAGCCCCAGATTTCCAGATATCTTGAGATAATCATCTGCTACCGCTTTGATAAAAACAAATATCATTTATGCGCGATAAGTAGGAAATAAAATCACTCTACAGTATGGCTTCATTATTATTACAGACAATACCAAAAGGTCGAGATTGGCTCCAGACAAAATATCGAACACTAATGAAGCGAGATTTGTAGAACTATTTGGCCGATGATCATATCTTTCAATGGGATTACCAAATTTAGATTTTCTAGCTTTGCGACACGCCTATACTCTAGTGGGATGCAGATTAATTAGTGAGTACCTCGATGTAGACGTACATGTAGATTTATGTAGCATAAAAAGTGAAGGAAAGTTGAAATTTTGGCCCCAATAACGATTATGGTCACAAGTATCGTGAGTAAAGCGATAAAAAGCCCCCTTTCCCGCCGTAAAGTCCCGTCTTGGATTTTTTTGGCCCGGTGTTTCTAGCCCAGGGAGAGTATCCAGCTTTCTCGGGTCAGCAAGTTGGAGCTCCCCTGGCCGGTGCTTCGTCTTCATACAGCGCCCTCTGCACGTAATTTGTTGCCATGTGTTCCGCGCCAATTTTACGTTTTCGCAGACTATACGTTTAGCACCGTTCAATAGTCACCTGCTGATCTCTGAACTTCCCCGTCAAGTTGCTAACTATGGCAGATGCAAAGACTGGACACGCTGAAGCAAAAAGAACGACTCCTGCTGTCTACTGTCAGGACGAACTGCCAGATCTATTACCTGTGTACTATAAGCGCCTGTTTCCATACAATCAGTACTTCCGATGGCTGAACTACGGCGGTGGTAAAGAACAGGCGCTAACGTTATATCATGTAGTACCGTAGAGCCTAGTACCACTATAGTACTAAGATATACATGATGTACATGTACAGATACATGTAGGCCTACATACATGTAATATATACCGCATGGGTGATTTAGCACAGTGGTAGAAAGGCATCGTGGGAAGGAAAATGGGGCAATGTTTGCTCCTTTTGCCTTCCCACAATGCCTTTCTACCATTGTACATAAATCACCCCTGCAGTATTTGCGATAAGGCTTACATGTATGCGTGGCATTCAATACCATCATTGACATTAGCACCCTGGTCCTTTAATAAGGAAACAAAGTTTACCTTTTCGAAACAACTTACCTAAATAAGTTGGCGGTGATGTCGTCTTTCATATCAGAAAGAAAAGAAGGAAGGGCTTTGTTTTTTATTTTTTTATGGGGTAAAATAGCAGTGTAAATGATGCGACAAAGAGCTGTGAAGGAGGACAAATCAGTAGTCTGGTTCCTTGACCTTGAACCATAAATATTCTTGTATGAAATTTGGTGTATCGACAGTGGCAAGGTTGGGTAACAAGATGTGAAACAAATGGCACTGTGATTGTCTTTCGCTGAACTCTGGTAAAAAATTCTGATTTTCTTGCTTAAATATTGTCAACGTTTACCTAAACTAGATCTAATAGGATTGAGGAATGGATCCTCAAGGTCTAAATGTCAGTTTGAAAAAGTGGACTTCGTTTTCCTTATAGGAACAGGGTGCTAATGGTAATGAACCCCACATGCATGGCTGACGTTTATGACGTCAGTCTGAACTCCCCAGTCGCTTGAACCTAGATCCGTAAACAGGGTTCTTTCTATACTCCGCCCTGACTTGGGATATAGAAAACAGGGGCGACTTCTGTCACTTGATAGCCACTAGGTTTAACATGTTTTAAAAGCTGACATTTCTCCAGACATGCCAGAATGCTCACTTCTTACCCTCTGACTATGAATCGTGCATGTCATGACTAGGCCCGTATTAGACCAGTAAACAGGGCTCGACATATACTCTTCCGTTGTATACTGGGACGTGTCCCAATTCATAGGGATTTCTTGCAAAAAATTTTATCCGGGGGATCTAGGGGCATAAGTAAACATCCGCTTGATATTATGAACTGAAATTGCACCGGTATGTTCACTATGGGGTAAACTGTCCCCTAGGTTGCTAATTGCGTAAAACTTGCCTTTTCCTTGTTTGGAGGAAAAAATGTTGCCTTTTTTGTTGCCTGTTTCGTATGCGAACACGGTCACGACCCTAATAGTAATGCCTTTGTGTCTAAATTTGAGGGAGCTTTGGGAAAACACCTGTGTTAATTAACGGCTAACAATCTTCGAAATATTGACGGCTGTTTTGTGAGTAGCAGATATCACATTTCAGTCACTGTGTAATATATAGTGCTCATGAAACATAAAAGCACAGAGAGATCTTACACTCCTGAAGTATTTCTACAACATTCACTGTGTCGTGCTATATCAGCAGTCAATTTTGCTTTGACAGCATTAGCCATCTGCTGTGTAGCTATGAGGTGATCTTGTATTTATTAACCTTTAACGGCAGGAAATGGTTATCGGCACCAGGGAAATTGGGAAGTGCACTCATGACATTACGATTTGACCTCAAGAAATACAGTTCATGCAGTTCTTACTTTTAGGACATTCCACTTTCTTGTTTTAGGCTTCTCAACTTCTTATTTATACAAGGCATTTATCACTCCAAAATTCCTAAGAATTGAGGAGAAAATGGAAAATGGTTACAGTTGAGGTAGTTGAAGACGCATGTTATGTGCTATATATAGTCTTAAAATATTTGAAGAATTATGTGCTGTAGATATTTTTTAAATAAGGGTTTCTTGCAACATGTTTTAAAATTCTTGAGCCATCAGGTAAGCGGTCATAAGTCCAGGGCCTCACCAATTTGCCATGTAATTTGTATGAAATCCTTTGGGTTTTTCACTTTTGTTTCAAAATATTTTTAATAGAATCAAATCTTTTAAAGTAAAAAAAACCACAGGATAAAACAAAAACTTGAAATGTTCACATTGTTGACTGTTTAGTGAGCATGTCACTGAATTGGTTGGCTGTTTAAACTGAAGTACATGTATTTCCATATCCATGTTATTTGTAGTCCCTAAGAGCTACTTTCCAAACCGTGAGTTCTCATTCACATTGAAAGATGACATCTACATACGGTATCAGTCTTTTGCTGACCAGAGTGAGATGGAAAAAGAGATCCAGAAACGCTGTCCATACAAGATTGACATTGGTGCTGTCTTCACACACAGGGTGAGGTGTTTGTCAAAATGAAACTGATGTTGGTCAGAAATGAAGTAGACCCTTGAAAATGTTGACCTAATTTGCTTCCAGAGATGGTCAGTCATTGCAAACTGTAAAGAAACATTTCAAAATATTCATACTGTCCTTAGAAAACATGTGCATACATGTACATGTATTTCAAGTGTTCATGGCTGTACAGTGTATGCAGACATTCTACATGCTCAATGAATTCTAGTTACAAATGTACATGTACATGTAAGTTTAGGAATTGATTCTAAAATTCCATGTGCATTTATAAAGCCTGGGGTTACATGTATATTTCACCTTAATCACCTAAACAATTTTCATTCCTACTAATTTATTCAGTTATTCATTTATCCAAATGTTCCCTTTAGCCCAAGGATCACAGGACAGTGAAGGCGACATCTTTTCAAGCTCAAGAGAAGGAGCTAGTATTTGATATTGACATGACAGACTATGATGATGTTAGGTCCTGTTGCCAGTAAGTGCTTTAAGTAACCTCTGACCTGTTACCTGTCAAAATGTGGCATTTAAGTATCTGTTTAAACCTGAAAGAGCTGTGTTTTTTGTTTCATTTTTGACATGGGTGGAAAATTTTGCTTCTTTCTTGTATTCAGCTGTCTCGTGCATGATTTATCTGAGACTTACATGCACGTAAAATGTTCTTTATCAGTATTAATGTGAGGTTTTAACTCAATTCAGCATATGGTCTTGTTACAGTCAAGGCTACGTGTATTTCATTTAGCATGTAAGCGGCAAATACTACACATTTTTGGCTGAACTGTCTCGGCAATATTGGCTTTGCTTTATGAGAACAGTGTACATGTATTTGATTTTCAGAAAATTGGTGTCAAAATGACCATAAGACGACACATGTATTTAAACTCTAGAAGCCTCGGTGAAAAAAGAAAAGACACCGTGATGACATAAGAGAAAATGTCGAAGGGGATTGATTCCACCCCCAGCACTTTAAGGGTTTATGTCTTTGTATTAAATGGCTGCGTTGATGCAAGCAGATTCGTTCACAGCCTTTATAAAACACCCTGCCAGGAGTAAAATAACAGCAAGAGAGGTCGAGTAACAGTTGTTTCAAATGAAATGAATGACTTTGTCATATGTAGTAATTTACCACACTGACTCACTCCGAGTTGTTGAATGCATGATGAACACAGTTGGGATCTTTTAGTCTGGGAACCAACAAGTAGATTCCAATTGCTGTTTTTTTTTTGAGTGACTTTGTGTCCAGCAACTGGACACGCTTGAAGCTGTGTGTTTGTACGTTGAATCCACATGTATTTAAATGAAACAACTGTTTGGTTTTGGTATTGAGTCATCATGCAGCAGTGATTTCATATGGGATACCACTGAATATATTTATGGAAGTTCACTATCATTAAAATGATCTTCAAAATCACTCTTTTCTGCGATCTACGTGTTATAGCTGTCTGGTTTCTGACCAAAAGATCCTCATTTTTTCTATTACGCATTAAATAATGGGAGTGAGTTGTGTGGATAGCTGTGGTAGACATGTTCCCTGAGTAAAGTACATTTTCACTGATGAGTAAGGAATAATTTTAGTAATTAATTAGTAACAACAGGTGAACATCCTTCTGTTGTTAGCTGTTAAATTGAAGTCTTTTGCAGGATTAACAAATCGTTTGGAATTGTTACTGTTTAATGAGTAAATATGCAACCAGAATAATAACAGATAGAGAGATTTGTGTAAATTCTCAAAATAAATAGCTATCACACGAGAAACTAATTATTTGCCTTGCAGGGGGGCAGATATTTGTGAGAAGTGTTGGCCACTGATGAAGATTGCTGTCCGTATCGTTGACAGGGCATTACAAGGTATGACTTGAATGACTCACATAGACTTATTTCTGGTTAGGAAATAGCTGTGGCTATCCTTGAGACAAATATCACCACTGTTATGTTTTAACCCAAACCCTCCTCAATCCTCCAACAGGTGAAGGATTGAGGAGGGTTAGGGTTAATGTGATGTACAACAGTACAAGTAAGTTGGTGGGCAATTAGTCCACAAAGAAAGCAGGTATAAACCCAATTAAATTACGTTTAGTTCCATGTCCAAATTTGATGCTTACCTTTTCACAATGTAAATTTCAAAAGCCTAATTTCCAACCACATGCTGGGTATTTACTAATCTTTCATTAATCTTCAAATTTGAAACAGTGTAAAAATTTGTCAATTGTATGAATCCTAGCTGTTGAAGTCGGAACTGGTTGGGTTCATATATCAAATGTATTCTTTGTCTCAGATGACTTTGGTTTTGATCATCGCTTGTGGGTTTACTCCGGTCGGCGTGGAGTTCATTGCTGGGTGGCTGATGAAACTGCTCGCAAGCTATCCCAGAATGCACGGTCAGCCATTGCAGAATATCTCAGCTTAGTCAAGGTAGAAATCTCATCAGCTTTCCATGATCGGCATCATGACAATATCAGTTTGTTGAATTCTCTGCATTTTCAGACAATGTGTATCTCAATCTGTGATCTGAGTTTGTTGAGCACTTTCTAAAAATCAGAAGTTGTAAGGATGTGATTTGTAAAGCTAAGAATAAAATTAGGGGGGGCTATGAGCCAGAGATGTTACCACAACACATTTGATCGATAGCAATAATGTTACTCCTTCATCTTGAGTAAATTTTGGGAAAATGTGAATGAAGCCAACTTTATTCTCTCAGTAAATAACTTTGTTAATCTGAGTATTCTGGTGATTCTTGTGAAATATTTTTAACGTCTACATTTCAAAATGAGAGCAATGCTGGACCTACATGTAGCATTCCTTTTCTGGGAGGATGTTAAATGTTAGTGATATGATTCCTGTTTTCTCCTTTTTTAGGGAGGAGAGAATCAGGTAAAAAAGGTTAACCTGCCTGAACACCTGCATCCGTCTGTAGAGTAAGTCTGAGAAAATTTTAATAGAATAGTTCAGACGACAAAGGCTGATTAAACAAAGAAATTTACAGTGGGATGTTAAATGGAACCCTTAGCATGAATTTGGAATAGCCTAGCCGTGCTTAGTTCAAGTTCATCTCCAGTCATTTTTCTTCAGTAACTCTTGATTATGTGGTTATGGTAAAGGAAAACTTAAATTAGAGTGTTGTGCATTATTTTCCTTTTGTCCGTTGAAAGAATTTTTAGTCGGATAAAGAAAATTGAAATATGATATAAACTTGTTTGTTGTAACTCCTGAAATACTAGTCATGTCAGTGCTTTAGCAACTAAGCGACAAGACGTGTCGTAAACAAACATTTTATCAATTTCCATTTGACATACAGATATGCAAGACAGATCATCAATCATTACTTTGAGGACTATGCATTTCAGAAGCAAGGCCTTCTGAGTGACAAAGCATCATGGGATAAAATCCTTGCTATTGTTCCTGACAGCAATATCCTTTCTACGAAAAACTTCAACTTTGTGATGTCTTGTAGTGATCCACTTCATGTATGTTGTATTCTACAATGTAAGGACAAGATTTAAATTCACACATCAGTAAGAAAAATTTGTTGATTTCTTACAAATTCCTTAGACAAATTGCAAATGCTTGGTGCTGCTTACATTCCACACAAACTAACATTTTGTAATCAGGTACTATGATCACTTTGTGAGTGTTTTGAATTTGTTGAATACTTTGTTACCTTGACCATCTGCTGCTCTCACATCTGAGAAAACTCCTCTCTGACCATATGGAAAAAGCCAAGACAGCTGTAGATAGGTGGGATCGCTTAGAACGCTGCATCAAAGGCGAAGTCAGTAAAGTAAGTTGTTATTCCCTGTAACCTCGTGTGGGCTAAAGAGCGATTATAACCATTACAGCTCCTCAGGATGGAGAATTGGAAGATTTGGCAGGAGTAAAAATGTGGATCCCAGCCACTAATAATTTACATTCAAGTTGATCCCCCTTGAAAGTTGAAATACTGAACATGTTGTTGGGTTCCAGCACATTGGTAGGTAGCCTTGGTCAGGGCGTTTGTTATTTGTCGCAGTGCAACGGGCACCTGCTGCTCAAAATCAAGGCGAAGAGCGACCTTGTGTGGTTTAAGAAATATGCAAATCAACTGAACCAGGACGAATGCCTTGGTGCAACCGTCTGTGGCAGCTGTATTGGATGGTGCTCATTATGCTAATGAAAAGAGCCGATGTTTTAAATACACTTTTGGATTGGTTCATTACTACATAGTAACGGTATAATTCAAATTGGTCGTCAGGTGAAAGGTTAAGTGAACGCACATGTGGCTATACATGTACATGACAAGTCAACAATGTTTATTTTGCCGGCTGATCAGGGTAATCGGAGACCAAGTTCGTGTTTGCTTTGCTTTGCTGATTGTGATTGATTTTTTTTCAAATGACTAGCGCTATGAGGTTTGTATCTGGTCTGAGGAGCTCTGACCAGAAAGTTGCAGCCTGAAAAATAGCTGATTTCCCGTACCCTGTTGGCAAATTCTCGAAAATGTCGTGACCCGCAGAAAGTATTCTGAGGCTTGCCGCTGTTCAGCACAGAAACAGGCCTACACTGTACAGTATGTGCTGATGATGTGAATCTGTTTACATGAGCACTTTCCTATTGAGTCAGTGGAGGCTTGTGGTCCAGTGAGCACCATAGGAAGACACACGTAAATTAAGTGTGGCATCATCAGTAGTCGCAAACAGATGACTGCCCAAAATTATGCAGTGCAAAGGAAATTTGGCTTTCTTGACCTGACTGAGGCTTTATTAAGATTGTCTTTTAATATCAATTGCAATTTTTCCATTTTCCTTTCCTAGGGAAATGTTAAGAAGTGTCTTCATCTGGCCACAGAGATTAAATTCCAGTACTGCTACCCACGGCTAGATGTCAATGTTAGCAAAGGCATCAATCATTTACTCAAGAGCCCCTTCTGCATTCATCCCAAAACTGGTCGTGTCTGTGTCCCATTCAGTGCCAAGAATGTTGACGACTTTGATCCTAAGACAGTACCAGATATCAGGTGATGTCCCTGAACACAGTCAGGATTCCATACTTTCTTGAGGATTTGCATAAAAAGAGGACATGATTTGTATTACGAGTTAACTCAGTGTGACTTAAAAAATTTGGAAGTTTCCTGGGAAAATCTTTGTGCCAGTCTCCTACGTGTAGTTTAATTGAAAGTTTGAGAAAGAATTCAAGAATCCCCCAAATTGCATTGGTAAGAAACAGTCTGTTAAAAGCACATGTATATAAATTTATTCACTATTCAATAAACTGACGTTAACCACTGCATGCCGNACGGTCGTTTATAGCTCACCAAGTAATCTTTAGGCACTACTCTAAGTTGACAGGTGACCCTCATTGACGCCCGAGTATTTCAACCAGGCCGGCAGCCTTGTAAACAGATCCCAGATTGTGTGGTGTTGTATAACTGTCTTTTGTTCACGAACCTGGCTAAGTGCACTGCTGACCTCTTTTCAATAGGGGCCACATTAGCATGCAGTGGTGCTGTGTGGCTCATCACTGCGGTGCCGGTGGTGGAGCGCTTTTGTCCCCGGTGGTAATCCGCTCGCTCTCAATGCCCCAAACCCTGGTATACGGTTTCAAAACAAGGCTGGATTATCACCACTTTTGAGAGTGAAAAATGCCAGTAATGCCCAGCAGCCTGGTCTTTTGTTCGGAGTATGGTCTTTTGTTATAGGGCCCTGTTTCCTTTGTCCGAGTTCGGAGACCCCTGCCACCCATATAAAGCATACGTCTCCGATCCTGGAGTCCCCGGCAGGAAGTGGTTAAGCCTGGTTTGTAGTCCTGTCCATTTTCAAAAACTTTGCTTGTTTATAGGAAAGTCTACTTCAAAGAAGGGTGAAAAGTATGTACTCGTCAATTCTTTTATTTATAAAAAGGATCATTTGTTGCTCTTGTTTACCGTTTTCTGTTGACACAGTCGATTGTGCCGAGAAATTGATGAATTTGACAGGAGGCAAAAAGCGGCATGTGATGAAAATGAGCCACCAACAAAGAAGCGAATAAAAGGTAATTCGTGATTACAAATAGTAACGACTATTGGCAACACAGGTAGCAGGATTTTAGTGATGACTCTTTCACCTCCTATTAACCACCCAGATTACAAGAAGACGAGCATACTTCAAAGTGTTCAAGTGTTTGAGGAGTTTGTCACAAGCCTTGAGAAAACGTGGAAAGGCAAACTCATAGAACAAAGCGGTAAGCACTCACTTCTGATGTCAAATTATTCACTGAACCCCCAAACCTCAAGAAAAGCCGAGTGAAGTTCCAATACAGTGGACAGTGACCATTGAGCCATTAAGCCTCACAATTAAATGTTGAAAGCATTTATAGCTATACCTCTGATATTCATGACGATCTGAGATCTCTCTCAAACACAGCAAGAAAAGAAAAACTCTGAGAAGTTAATCAGAAACCTGTCCCTACGTATTTACATACTTATACATATATTGCTTTTAAATGATACATTTTGTGTTTTTCGAAACATCAAATGGGCTGTTGTTGAGCATTCTAAAATGTAATGTATTGCACACTTGATAAATTTGCTTCTATTCTTGTTTTTGAAGTTTGGCATGTTCAGTACTCTTCCTTCCTTTACAAAACAGACATCAAGAAAGAGTTTTGAACATCTCACCTGCTCTTGTTGAATGGGATGATGAAGCTGTCGCCTGAGCAACTGACTGTTAAGGCAAGGGGCTGCCATAGCAACACCACCTCTGTCAGCATGGCATCAACCCAAAATGCAACAAGATACTGTTTTAGATAGGAAAAGAATCTATGCTTACTTCAGCAAAAGGTTTTGAGCCGTTCAGTATCTTTTTCATTCTGCCATTTTTTGCTTCAAGACTCTGAAGCTGTAATATAATTTGCATTTATGGTTTAGTCGAACTGCAAGTTTTTTCTGTTTCTTATATATTAGATAAAAAATAGAGCCTGAAAGTAAAAAGTCACGCAGCGAGCTTCCTGAACCCTCGCACAGTCCTCCTATGGGGATTTTACGTTGGTCCTTCCTATCACGTGTGATAATTTTTGGAAGAATTCTTCCCAACTCAAATCACCCCATGAAACATGTTGGAATTTTACTTTTGTCTTCCTTAAGTAATATTTAGGAAAAGTCACCCGGAGATAGGTAAAAAACCAAAATTTATTAATGACCTTTTACGTCTGGCGATAACGTACCTAGGTCTCCTTGTTCGTGCACGTTTGTTTTCACTCCCCGTGGTTACGTGAAAATGAGATTGTACACTGTCGCAAAGATTAACCTATTTGCAGTCGATGGGATCCAGACATCAGTTGACATCACACAGGTGTTGTCAGCAAAGGTTAGATAAAATATTAGAATCTTTCATCAAAGTAGAATATTGCTTTTACCTACAGATTACCACAAAATTTCAAACGGTAAATGTTCATCAGCATACGAGACTGCCTCATTGCACAGTTCATGTATTTTGGATTTTCGGAAGTGATGGGTCAATTTTGGCAGGCTATTTCTCTTTTAGGTCAGGTGATTTTTCAGTTTCTTTAAACCAATATACTAGCAAATATTTTCCAAAGTCCCTTTTCCGAGTTGGACTTTTTAAGAAGTAACTGAACGAAAAAATATTACAAATTGTAAAAATCTTTGCACTTTGCAAATCTTTTTCCTATCCAAGGGTTCCGGAAGCACACCATCAGTGGTCAACTTTCCAGCTCTATAGATCATTAACCCTAACCCTCCTCAGTCCTCCAACAGGTAAAGGATTGAGGAGGGTTAGGGTTAATGTACATGTAACTGCAATGGACAAGGCCTACAGATGCTTGTAATCATCTATGAGTAGGAAATAATTCCACCTAGCCTACCTTTTCTTGAATTTAAAATGACTATCAGGAATTCATTCAACCTTTCCAAGTACATTTGGTTGGTATTATTACATTCACATCGTGGCAACATTTCTTCAATTACTCTGTACAGAGATTCTTGGCAAGCCCAGGTATTAGGCTGTAGACTCGGCACTTCAGAAATAGTTCTATACATTGCAAAACCTTTGTAATAAAAATTATTCAATAACTTTATAGTAACTGTAATGAACACTAATTAATGTATGCCGTTAAATTGTTTTTACAGTTTATAGCACACTCCAGTGTTACTTCAAGCAGATTTGCAAGGCATATAGGATCATTTGCAATTAAGCATAAATTTACTTGGCAAAGAACTGACAGAAAAACCTTTAACTGGTACCCAACAATAGGCTGTTACTCTGGCATTTTGCTACTAACAATGTAACCCTGCAAAAAATGCACTTGTTGGTAATGCAATGCTCTATCTAAAAAACAGGTTCAAACAGGCCCCAGATTATAAGCCCAATTGAGCCTGATGACTCGTTTAATGTGCATTTAAGTTTGGCAGTGCTTTGACACATGTATTTAATGAGGGATCAATCCAGGTCTGAGCAATATGTCACTAAAAATCTGCAACTGATTTCAGTATATCCAGCAAAAAATGAGACCAAGGGGGTACCCCCCCTAACATGTCCAATTGCTATATACAATCTAGACTATTGTTACCTAACATATCCCCCTAGATGTCTGAAAAGAATTCCTCAGATTCCAGTGAGACAATGACTAACACAAAGCAGGGGTTGTTCTCTCTGTCTCGTATCTTGCTTCATATGGATTTCACAGCAGATGACACAAAAATTCTTTCAGATTTGTCAAAAGAAATTTAATAAATTGAGCAAATTTAATTTTTTTTTACCCTGCCTCTGTTCAAGGAATTTGTTTGATAAAACATGAGGAAATTCATCGTGAGTGCATGGCCTTTTAATGTTTAAGATCATGTGTAGCATATGTCAAACAAGGATTCAGTGTCTTGCATTATTTAAAGCACTTAACTCTGTATTACACATGTAGGTACTGTCCAGTTCATGTGGTTACAGCTAATATTGTTAATAACAATCTCTTCATTATTACAGAAGACTGTAAACACAGAAGTGTGCTCGGATTGGATCTATTGGATTTTCAGTCCAACATGTGATCAGTACCATGTATGTCTGTCTGGTTTATAAACATGGATGCCAGTCTCTGTTGTAGGTAGACACAGCCATCTTGGATCTCTTAACATGTCATGCTAACTATAGAGGGATTCCAATACGATGCTTTTAGCGTCCATCTGTGCACTTCTGCATTTGAAAACGAGGCTGTATGTGTCCGCTTCAATTCTTAATACGATCAGACGATTGAAAGGATTCAAGACACAAAATACTGCAAATTTTTGTGGAAGAATCTTTCAGGATGACTCGACATGTAAAATCAAAAGAGAAAATAATGGCAATTTACCGTGAACTAATGTACCTGCGATGATCGCGTATCTGCATGTGCAGTGTGGTTTAAACTGAAAACACTTACAAACTGGATACTGCATGTACTGTGTCGACTCCCCAGGCACATGCCAGGAAGTTCAACACAGAGAGCCTTGCTTGATCAACAGACTGGTTCCCTAACACCAAGTCATCTGCCATTTACCAGGATGGCTGGATGTAAGACCAAGATGGCTGCTGTATGAGAGATGTGTTAATACACTGCCTTACATTACTACACATTTTTACAATGTTTTTAAGAATAGTACAAATACCAGTATGTGGGACTATTTTAACATTTGTACACAAATAAAATACTAAATTTGACACTTAAAGTATTAGATCAATTTCTAAGAAAAGTAACAGTATCTTAGCCAAAACCAATATCAGTGTTATGAATCAACTTACGAGCAGATTAGACCATGGAGCATTTTGTGCAGGGAAGCTGGGCATATACTGGATAAGTCTGTAGGAATTATGCTTTATACAATATAATACATCCATCAAGTACATTGACAAAAGCTAACATATGAGGGAAAAAGCTCATGAAAAGACACCGATAAGGCCCCATAAAAAGATCTTCCAAAAAACTGTGGCATCACATCTTTTCAGACAAGTTCTTTGTTTTAAACACGTAACCTATTTTAGACATTCATCTGTTCCACAATGGTGACTAGAAAAGCACACAGAATGAGAAAGCAATCCTGTTTTTTAAGTGCAATTGTCCAAAGTAAATGTTCATGATACAAATACTAGAGAAAAGTCACAAACAATGCTGTCCTCTGAAATAAATTCCCCAAATTTGTAAATTCTTGTACAAAAACTTGTCTCACTTGGGCAACAGTGTACAAGTTTTGGAAGTTACAGTCAGCAGGGGCATCTTTGACATAAGTTACAATTTCAAAAAGTTATTAAAATTTCATCTGGGGGGGGAAGTGACATCCCCATCCAGGGATAAAGGTATGTTGCACTTTTTTGGACTTGAAATTCCCCTTACTAGGACAGTGCTTTACACCATCAAATCTATGTAATTATAACTGTCCATAAAAAAACACAAATAACATCAATAAACAAAAAATTGTACACTTTTAATGCCCAGATACTTCAGTGGTTATAGCATAGGAAGCTGAGATCATGAAAACATAAAACATAGAAAAAAAATATTTTGAAGCTGCATTCAAATCACTCATGCAAATCAACCATAACTAGTTCACTAAAGTTCCAATTTGCAGGTACAAATTTAACTGCATCTTACTCTAGGAACGAAAAAGATGGCCTATTAATCTACCAAGCAGGGTTCGTTTCAATTCCTTTGACTTGTTGCTTCGAAAAGTTGCTTTAAGTGGTGAGTTAGGAGACATGAAGAGTCACAAAGTTACACGTTGAAAGTGACAGAGTAACTTACAAGGTTGCAGGGAACTCTGCAGTGATTCTCTTAAATGGTCTTTTATTTAAAAATTTGATACATTATATGCAAAAGTGTATAAGTGCTTGCCAACTAAGCCAATCAACTGGCAGTGATGCAAGGCATGACAGGCCATAGCAACTAAGGCAACAGAAGCCTTGAGGCTATTGCCTATCAGGTTGCCAGACACCAAGAATAGAAACCAAATACTTGTTTTATGGATCAAGCAAAATCAACACAGCATTTGATTTGGCCTGCAGGGGTCATCAATTGACTGCTAACACAAACATCGATGTCAATGTTTACAAGTATGGTCAATAACCAAGACAAAAGCTAATGGATATTGTCTGAGGCTATTTGCGAGTGTGTGATTCCAAAAAAGCCCTGTACAAGAAATAATTGATTTGAACATGGTCTAGCACGGGGCTAAAATGAATAATTATGATAAATGAAATTTCTCAGATTTTCTACAACAAGGCTATGACAGGTTTTATCCAGCCTCATTAACTAATTGCTGTGGTAATAAGGGTTTATTGTTCTGTGTACTGTTATGTTTTAGGCGCAAGATCTAAAAGGCAAAAAAGAATCCAAGTCCAATTAAATATGCAAAGGTCAATGTGACTACAACGTTTATAAACAATACCTTTCCAATTTGAAATAACTATAAATGTTTATAATCAATAAAAAAAATCTTGCGATGAAAATATAAAATACATTACTTGAAAGGAGTCTTAACCTTAATATGAATATCATATAAACAGTACTTCAAAAAGCAACAGCACAAATTTTAAATAGTTGATGTCCAAGAACATGAGAAAGTAAATGTATTCGACATTCAGAATTTGACCTTTTAGAATAAATCGTTTTACCCTAAATGCTCTTAAAATTTGAGATATTCCTATACATATTTGAAATATACTAAAAATTGTGTGGTACATGTATAGTCATCAATAATGGCCAGTGAACTTGTTTGCTGGGTGAAATACTTTTTGAGACTGTATCGAATATTGAGGATGGCTACTTGGGATCAGATAATAACATGGCAAAAATGTTTGCAAATTGTGATGTAGCGGTACATATACAGGTATATGTCTTTAAAACTGGTTTGTAGTCAAGAAAAAAAAAGAATGAATTCAAAGCACTCTTTTGTGCAAATGTGAAACATGCTCCATGGCGTGGATGTGCAAGTCAAACAATTTAGTTTGCAATGCACATTTACTGTAGCTGCAAAAGGAATAAACTGGATTTTAGGCTTTTGGGGTAAGATCAAGATTCTGAAGGAGATTTGGGTCGGGAACAGTGGCCTGCGCCATTGTTGGCAGAGCCTGGTGTGTACTGTCCATTGTTACTACTGGGGGCACTGGGGGCACTGTGTCTCTCGTGGAAGCCGATGATGCAGGGTTTATAATTTCAATCTTAACTGGGAGGGAGCCCTCTTCATCGCCTTTCTTGATGTGGGTGTTGGAGTGTTTCTTGAGGTGGTCCTTGCGCCAGAAACGCTTGCCACAATCTGGGCAGGGGTAACGCTTCTCTCCTCGATCCATATTGGACAGCTCTCGTATCTTCTTGTTGTCGTGGGTGCGGACATGCTTAGAGAGGTGATCACTGCGCATAAAGCTCATTGGACACTCCGGACATGAGAATCGCTTCTCACCTGAAGTAAAGAGGCAACATATTACAGCAACAATGAAATCATGAAATCAACTACATGTATATGTGTAATAGGATGGGAGCAATTCCACTGATATGGACGCTGTAAACAATGACAAAGTAATCCTCCAGGCTCTTGTAGTGTTAAGAAACTGCCAACAAGTCACCCAATAATTTATATACTGTGTTGTGCAAACAAAGAGCAAAAAAACATTGTAATTGTTAACAAGATGTAGTTTCTAGAAATAAAGTGATGCTCATTCTCCAATATAACTGAATCCAGAAACAATACAGCATTGAAGCCCCCCAAATGCATCAAGCAATCAACAGCTCAAATTAGCAAACTTCAACTGGGATCAAGTGACACGTTGGCTTCAGCTGGACATTTGAGACAGGGATCCTGCCCTCTCCACTCACCTGTATGCGTCCTGGAGTGTCGTTGTAATTCATCTGACCGTGTGAAGCGTCGACTGCAACCTGTCCAGGTACAGATGTAGGGCTTCTCCCCAGTGTGGCCCCTGATGTGAGCTTTGAGATGGGAGGTCTTGGCAAAGGCCTTGCCACATCCTTCAATATGACACAAGTGTTTCTTTGGCCCGATGGGCAATGCAGGATCACCTGGTTTTCTCCTGAAGGATATTGGCAGGAGGTCAGAAGGTGAGTGGCAAAGTTATAAGTCTGACATTGCTTGGAGGAGAGGAATTCAGCCGCAAAGTAATTTTCTTTCAAACAAATCACAAATCATCCATGCCGAATGCAAATTTACAAGATAATAACAAATACTGTACTGACCGACCAACCAACCTACCTGGTGATGTCACAGTATACTTGAGACTAGATGATTGGCTTGCAGTTGACTTATGATAATTGTTGATGACCAATTTTCTTTGTGAAGAAGTTAATCACAGGACAGCTGCATTCCTGATGTAACTTTTGTTTATGGCAAACTACATGTAGCTGGTACCCGCACTTATCAGAATTCGGTCATCCATGTGAAAAGGTCCTTATGGCAATGACATGATTTTGGTAAAAATTGTTGGGGTCTGTTACCCTGACAGTGGCATTTCAGTATAATGCAAGAGCACATCAATTAGCAAAATTTAAAAAGACAGTCTTATTGCACTTGAATTTGGTGGTGAAAGACCCCACAGCTCCTCCCAAGCATACAATGTATTTGTTTAGTGTGAAGAGGATGCCTTCTACATATACATTACCACCAAAAAATAGCTTAACCTTGCCCATTTACAAGGAAATCAGTCTCACAGTGCTCCAAGTGTTCCTGTCAAATTATTTTTACAACTACACTTGATAAGAAGTCATTTATTTGCAACTGAACAATACTGAAGCATGCATGGCTGCAATGAGTGTAACAGGGTTCATACACCTCACAGAGAATTCTTTTCTCCAGGAAATTCCAGGTGTTTTCAGCCCATAATTTCCGGGACTTTCCAGGATTTTCGTGCCACATTTGGTCACATTATGATTATGGACTTGGCTTACATGCCTACAACTGCAAACTCTGCATCAGGCAATGTGACGATTGGGCCCGCATACAAGCCATTTTTTCCTACTTGAGCCAGTTGTCCTTGAAAGAACATTTTCCTTTATTTCTTTGGCATCGTTCCATTAGGCTGGCTTCAGTTGCAGAGATACCAACTTTTCAAAATGTAATCCTGCCGCACAATACCAAGGCTGATGTGCAGTACTAGCATGTTTCCAATGGGGCGAGCTTGTGGTTCGACCTCGTTGGCTTTCCAATGCTGCTGAGTCATCACTAGTAACAGTATGCACAAACTACGGTGTGGAATATCAGCCACACTTTTGGGCAGCATGCGCACTATACATGTACATGTAACTGTAAAACACTGCACGAGTGCACGTACATGTATCCCCCCCATTTCAAAGCGTTAAACAAGGCAAGCTGGCAACTCAACCTCGCTGGTTTCTAAGGCTACTACATGTACTGGCATGCAGACGATGGCTTTTTGGACTAGGAATATGCGACAACCTGGGTGTGACAATGGTAAATAATTGACTAATCGACTAAAAACTAAAACTAAAATAAGAGGACCTTTATTAATTTCAGGACACTCCAGGATTTTCAAGAATCAACTTTTTTTCAAGTACATTACAGGAATTCCAGGTGCTGCGGGAACCCTGGTGTAAACATTGAAATGTTTCCTAATTTCTTCAATGAAACTTGAAGTTTGAAAAAAATGTGGGTTGAGTCAATAGTGAGTTGCGTGAAACTCAATCATTTCAAAGAAAAACACTTAAGATCATCAAGAGCAATTCATCAAACATAATACCCACCTGTCATCTATTGTTCATATGCTGTTAAACCTGTAATGTCATGTACACCTTGTAAAATTAATTAAACATGCACAAGACATTTTGCAAGAGTACACCTTCAAAGTCTGCACTGTAGGACTGTGTCTTTTAATTTCTACCTTGAACTGAGACAGTTTTTACTTGTGGGCCAAGCTACATCACACAATGTGGTCTGCTGAAGTGTGTGGTACTGCATGTACTGTGTGCAATGTATATGTACACTGTACATGTCAGCGTTCTGGTGATGACGTCATCCAATCAGCCTGAGAGCGGGAATGGCCAAATGGGGATTTTTTGTGGGCGGGGAAACGCAGGATCTTTTTACTCATTTTTGGGTCACTATTAATGGGGTAAACATTAAATTTACGATGTTTTCGAAATGGTTACGTATTTATTGTTTATTTAAAATACTTCACGTGAACTAAATGTTTCCTATTTCTGTTACCCTTTCAATTGTACTTACTCTCTGCCTTCCATTGTGCAGTAGGGACAACTACAGGGCTGTCTTTGTATTCTCTTCTGACCACTGTTCTTTTTGGTCAATGACTGCTGGTTGCACTCAACTGCAAGGAAAAATGGAACATTGTGCACTAACTTCTGCTAGATTCTCCTTAACATTGGCTTTGTGAACACCTTCATAATGAGATGTCATCAAGTCACCAGAATTCATCAGATGTCAATTACAAGCCAATCACCAGTCATAAAATGTTAAGTCATGCAAACATACTGTAATGTTACTTTGTGGTTTATCCCCTATCACACAAGATACATACACTGTAAATCCCAAAGGTGCAAGGCCAATATCATACATGTATATGTAAATTTGAGGTTAAATTAATGGCAAAAACTATCTGCAAGGGAGTTACAACATGTCTAGTGCATGAACACACTGCATGGTATGAACATGGACATGTATAGTGAGCTGCAATCCCTAAATTTATAGTTAGAAAATACCTCCCTCCTTTATAGATTTCTTGCTAAATGGTAATACTAAGAAATGTGCTACATGTACTTCCGTTAGTTATTTCTCTGCTGAGGTACTTCCATGGACCTCTCTGCATGCAGACAAATCCTCCACATGCTTGCCAACTGAACATCAGTGACAGGCTCATGGAGATGGTTACTGAGATTCTCCATACAATGTCCTCACCTTTCTCGGATGATTCTCCAGCAACAGGCAATGTTCCATCTTCCAACACATCCTCCTGAGATGTTGCACTGTGTTTCCGCCTCCCCTTAGCTTTCTTGTTATTGTGTGTCTTGATGTGTTTCGACAGGTGGTCACTTCGCAGAAACCTCTTCATACACAATTTACACTGGTACTTTCTCTCACCTGAGAACCAGAAAGACAATAATGACAAGGCAACGGTTACCAGCCAATCAAAGTCACTGAACATCAGAATCTTGAACTCACTTAAATAGAGCTGTTCAGAGGTTACCCAAGAAGTTGTGTCAACTACAGCACAAAACTTGTCATTCGTAAGAAAGTTCCACATGTTACAGGAATTAATACTTGCAAGGACAATGCATGAATTGAGTACTGCTTCAATCAGTCAGTGGTTTCCTAGTTGTGCATACTGCACCATCTTAAGCCCAAGGTCATTTGTCTAACCACTGCCAGCATACAATTCTCTCACTGACTAAGCTGTTGGTTAGGGCACGGAGTTAAACACATGCGCAAGTCAGAGTAGGGAAAGCAGGGTCACTGAAAAGCTTTAGATTTGAGAGCAAGCAGGATATTTAGTAAGGGTTTGAGTTATTACCTCATTGGTAAGGCTTGGAAAGTAACATTCAGCTACAGTACAAAAAAAAAGGTTGGAAAAGTATGCTTGTATTGCTCTTTCCTTCATGATGAGGGATAACATAAAATGGAATTAACTGAATGAATCAAATTTGCAGGGTTCAAGCAAGAAAATCTACCTTCAGTCAACCGTAGCTTATTTAATTGACTTAGGACTGTAAAAGAAAGACAGTATTACTTTGCACGGGTTTACCTCCAGTCAACTGTACATGTAACTTAGTCGTCTTATAACTCTAAGGGCAAAACAGTATTACTCTGGTGGAGTTTTCATATGTCCATGTTTTATTCCACAAAGAATGTGTGACATTTGCAAAAAAAGTGTTTTGTAATTTGGAAAACATGTACCGGTAAAACTAATTTGTGTGCAAGGTTTCAGAGGGATACAGGTACCTACACAAAAGATTTTGTAAAGATGAAGCACTTGGGCCCCAATCTTACTCTTGTGATAGATTTTTCTGCACAATAAAATAAATTTGGCAAAGACAGCTACTAGTAATAATACAAACTATCTACAACAAAAACTAAGTGTTCTAGTAAAAAGGACATCAATTCATGCAAACAACAAACAAAACTTTTGCAAGACAAATGGTAAAGTCAACACAGCAACTACAGCCAAAATATGCAGTGCCCGTATTAAAAAAACAAACCAGGTTGTTAGAGTGAATTAATGGGTAATGGTCTGTTGCCTTGTGTAAGGATTAGTAGGTTGGTGTGTGGGGTACCTGTGTGAGTCCGGTAGTGTCTCTGGAGTTTGTCCGCCCGTTTGAAGCCCCGCCCACAGAGCGGCCAATCACAGACGTGTGGCAATTCCCCTGTCACTTTCTTAGCGGAGGCAGCAGCAGCAGCAGCTCTGGGTTTGCGGCATCTCGCTGTTAGAAATGTGCAACCACACCCAGCGCAAGAATGAAAAAAATCTCAGAATTAAATTCAGGGGGAAAAAGTCCCAAAAATTATACATCTTTTTTTTCTGAGGGAGAAATACTGAATTTGCAAATTTGGCTTGCTTCTCTCACCGAAAAAAGGAAATGATCCCTTCTTGTTGCCATAACCCTTATGGATTAATGAAACTCATAAAGAATCTTGTCAGCTATTGCATGGTAGGGGATAAAGGCTACCGGTACATGTACATAGTTTTGGCTATATGTAGTTGACTTTACCTCCACTGAAAACAAAAATTAATAACAAAGCTGAATAAATAAACCACAAAACAGAAGCTGCGACAGCAACAACGTTTGGCCATATCCAGCTTCCATGGTCAAAAATGTCGTCAAAAGGTTATTGGATGTGCAAAACCACTGTCTCTACATTACACCATTTTGAGTCAGTGGGAGGGAGAGGCATCAGGGACTCAAAATGCTCAGAGTCAAGAGAAATGCACGGTTCATGCTGCTTCCATACAAGCTTGGAAGGCCCCTGTTTTTCCGCTTTGTGCTAGTTTGGTTTTAGATGTGATTCAGAAAGGAACACGGCGGGAGTACAGTGTGTTCCTGTCAGAAACACCCAACAGTCCTCAAGGGAAAGTTCCAAATGAAACATGCATGCCTTACTTTTTGAGAGACTCCCTGTTGTGCTAAAATCAGGCCACTCACGAATGCTTGATCAGGGTGTGTCTCTTTTACTTTCATGCTTCAATTTCATGAATTTTGGTCTTTGGAAATTTGTCCTCTGGCTCAATGCAGTGCCATTTTCACTGATTTCGATCAAACAGTTGATTGATTGTGAGGCCAAAGGTTAGTGTCTTCCTTTCTTCTAACAATCAATTTCCATTAGCAAATGTCTAAGCATGATTCTGGGGCCCCAAGAAAAAGTTGGAGACAAATCTGAGATTGAAAGAGGAAATAGTCTGAATGTCTTTCCAGCTTGTAAGAAAGCTTTTGGAGACACCAAATAAAATACACAATGTTTAAACAAAGGGTGCATTAAAAGAAAACAAATAAATAGATTGAATTCCGTGGTTAAAAGTGAACTCCATGACCAAACAAGTTATCACCTTGGGGTACACGCCCAGGTGGAATTGCTTTGGAAGAACGTTTCTGTTGTCCGTCACTGTCCAATAGACATTTTAAGTCTGTGAAGGGTGGTTTTCTGGGATATTTCAGTCAAGCCCAGTAATTGTACATGTAGATGAGTCCATCACATCTCCATCACATGACAATCTAAAATCGTCTAGTCTCATGTAACTCACAAGCAATTCAAATGAACTGCACCAAAGGTATTCCTTTGTTGTTGTTAATTCCTAATGGGCCTTAAGCTGGACCAAGAGCAAGTGCTATTTCTTAGCAAAGGAGGCTCCTTTGGTCAGAACTGCAAACTTTCCTGGTTTAGGAGTGACTATAAAATGCAAGCATCACAGCCGTATCGCTACCAACAAATTGAACACTCAACACTCCTGACCAATGAGGCTCTTTTCAAGTAATGAGTGGGTGCTTATGCTTGAAACTGTACCTGTAAAATTACTTACAATTGAATCTGTGATGTACTCAACTACAACAATCGTTAAAACACAAGTGCCAATACATGGATGTTATACAGTGTACAAATTGGAAGCCTGTGGGCCAAAAAACCAAAACATAACATCAAGCAGCAAGATAGCAACTTAAGAACCTTCCATACCTGTGTGGGTTCTGTAATGTCTCTGTAATTCATCAGAACGTCTGAAACTACTGCCACACAAGGGCCAGTCACAGGCATACTGCAACTGGCCTGAGTGTGACCTTAGGTGAAGCTTGAGGTGGGACGTCTTACTGAAGATCTGACCACAGTTAGGAACATGGCAGATGTGCTCCCTAGGACCAATAGTGATGTCTCTCCTGTTGACAAGTTTGTCAGATAGCTCCATTACAAGTTACATCGAACCAACTCCTTAAAGATCCTGTTCATACTTGATGTAAAGCAAACACAATAAACTACTATTAGGAGACACAATAACTGTGCTGGCACTGCACTCGCATTCTAAAGCTTGATGAATTTGCTATATAACGACATCCTACTGGTTGAAGAGGCAAGTAACATGTGTGTACCACTTGTCCACTGAAGTAATGCCTTCTACTTTTGGTCACCAAATTATAAAATAAACATGACAAATACAGGTTGCTACAGTATGGTACGGTAATAAGTACTGGAATGTACAAAAATTGTATAATTGATATTCACTTCTGCATGGAGTGTAAACAAGCCTTCTTTAAATGCGATGCTTATTTTTGTGTCAATCTCTCAACATGATGCTTAACCACTTGCCACCAGGGATTCCGCTTTTGAACACGTATTCTTTATACGCGTGGCCAGGGTCTGCGAAACTGGACAAAGGGAACTGGGCCTTGTAGCAAAAGACCGTACTTGCAGCAACAGACCTGGCTCCTGGAAATTACCAACGTTTCTTTCACTCTCAATAGTGGAGATAATCCAGCCTTGTTTTGAAACAGTAGACCACGGTTTGGGGCATTCAGCGCAAGCAGATTACCACCAGGGACAAAAGCGCTCCACCACCGCAGCGATGAGCCACACAGTACCGCTGCACGCTAATCTGGCCCCTATTGAAAAAACGTCAGCAGTGCACTGTACCAGTTTCTTGAACAACAGAAAATTACGTAACACTGCAAAATCTGGGCTCTTTTTACAAGGGGGCAGACCTGGCTGAAATACTCCAGCATCAATAGATGTTGTCTGTTGGGATTAGAGTAGACACCAGACAGTCCTTTGTGTGGGTGTAAGTGTCAAGTACATGTAAAGTACATTTAAAGATTTTTGAAAACAGAAAAAATGATAATTATCTCTTCCCAGCCTCATCAACATTGATAAATGCCACCGGTGCGAAGTGGTTAACTCCTTGACGACGGGAACTTTTTTCTGAAAGCCGACTTTGAGAATTCTAGCCTCGCTTGGCCACGAAGGGCATCTGCCAATTTTCGGTTTGTGGCCCTGCGTGCTCTCCATGCTTTGAATTACACAATGAAAAGGCTCATTGTTCGGTGGCATGCGGCTCTTCTCAAGCTTCCACATTCCCGTCGCCTCTTTTCAAAGTGGGGACTACTGTGAAGCTGGTGATTATGATGCAAATTTGATCTTTTCATTTCTGGGCTACACACAAAGGCCAATCAACATATATACAAGAGCCAAGGTCTGCCTTCTTTCGCGGTGTTCGCTTGAGCGTGGGCCGAAAATAATAGCTGAAAAGCCGGCTGAGGATCTCAATTTTTACGGTGGCTCTTATTGTCATCCGTCACGAAGGGGTTAAGTATGCAATATTACATGTAGTTTTTAAAGCAGAAATTAAGTGTGACAGTGTAAAATACATATACATGTACATGATGTCAAGCTTCTTGTAGATACTGTATGTTCCTTTGTAAGGTTAAACAGAGGTTGTGTGATTAATGGTGATGGTGGTGGGGGGAGCTACTTATATGTACACGTACTGGTATGTGTACATCGCGTAGCTTGCAAGTTGTATGTACATGTACATGCTGTACTTCCTAAGCACTAACTTCTAAGTGGTACTGGTAGTTACGGGTACATTAAACTACAAACTAATGGAAAATGAAGCAAAATCAAATAAAGCAATAATACATACACATGTAGCGTTTGCTGGAGGGTCAGTCTTACATGTCCATGTGTGTCACATACATGTACATGTATACAGTAGTGTCTGTGATCTGTACATGTACATGTACCAGAACATGTACCAGTACATGTACACCACAAGTAGTGTTTTTGTGGGGTTCTAACACCCAACTTCCCATATGAAAACAGGGTACATACATTGTACATGTATACATGTATGTACATGTACATGATTTTCAATCAAGTACCACATGTATCATTTCCATTTGATGGGGTCATCTGAATGATGTGGTACCGGTACATGTGTATCAGAATTGTACATGTACATCAGAACAGGTGCACTGCCCGTACATGTGCCATAGGATACATGAACACAGAAAAAGGGAAACTCAACACTGTGCATGACTGTGGTGTTTCTCATAAACATGTACATGTACTGGTTGTACAGGTGCTTTACATGTACATGTATATGTAAAAGTACTTGTGCATGTGCATCGGAAGTGAAGTTTGGTCTAAGGACAGATTGCATGTCTAAAGGTACCGTAATTGTACTAGTTCAAACACATGCATACTTTGCACATCAATATAATTCTCTTAACTTGTCAAAACATACACCCACTTCCATCTACAGTTTATGTTACATGTACATTAAATTCTTGAGTGTTTTTTCAGGGTTTGAAAATTGCCAGCATGGAAATTCAATGACTCTTCCAGGATTTCCCTGACTAGAGAAAAATAACGTGTTGCCTCAGCAGTCTGAACCGCCCACAGTTTCCTGCTAAATCCTAACACAAGCCTTATTCCAAGTATCTGCATGCAGTAAGGGTGTCAACTCAGGTGCGGGTGTAATGTCATTACCCTGTTTGAATGTGCCAAGGAAATCCTGCCCTTTTTTTAAAGGGTCAAGTAGCTCAAGCTACCATACACTGAAATAACACCAAATTGAACAAAATGAAGCCATTTTGTCCTTGTCTTGAACTCCTAAGCCCATATGAGTAAGCAGGGCTGGGTGTGTGCTGTGACCTGTGTACCAGATATGAGGTTCCAGGCACCTTATGCAGTTGGGTTGTGGCTGAGAATGAGATCATTATCTGCAAACAATGTAATGAACATCCATTGTAACCGACCGCCAAAAAGCCTTGTTTGGGATACAGTTTTGAAACGGACAAAAGTCTGGCAGTTTAGAACAACACTTTTAAATTGATGCACATCAAACCCTACTGGCTACATGTAGAATCATCACTTAGTCCTTCATGTTCTTCAGTGATAAAACTGAAGGCTCTCCCAAGTGGCTCTGTGATTTCCCATTACAACAAAGAGTGTAGAGGATGCAGTGTGACACTGAGTGCCTTCAGACAATGTCAGACACAAATGTACATGTACCTGTATGCAGTGTACATGTACATGTATGTGATCCTGTGTGCCCACTGAGGTCAACTTTGGAAATTGTGACAACCTTCCGAGTAGAAACATGGCAAAAGCTGTTTATTGCTTAATCATGTCTACATGTACATGAAGCTGTCATTTGACACGAGTATTAATCAACATGTCAGCTTCCATGGATCAATGTTTATAAACTACTGTACTGTATTCATATATGTACCGGCACTAAAAAATGTAGGCTACATGTAGATCCTGTTTATTTTGAATATCCTGCTCTCTTCTACACTGTACTTACATGTACCGGTAAAAGCTAGTAAGGTGGAAATCCACAATTTTATGCAAAACATTCATTCTGCACCCTTCCTGCAAAGTACATGTGTAATGTATGTACATGTACTGGAACATGTACAGTATACAGTACAGTACAGGGTCTTGCATGAGGAATCATCACACTCACGCATGGGTCTTGCATGAGGAATCATCACACTCACGCATGGGTCTTGCATGAGGAATCATCACTCACGCATGGGTCTTGCGTGCAGAACCATCAGACTCACGCATGGGTCTTGCATGCGGAACCATCAGACTTACGCATGGGTCTTGCATGCGGAGCCATCACTCGTGCATGGGTCTTGCATGTGGAACCATCACTTACGCATGGGTCTTGCATGAGGAATCATCACACGTACGCATGGGTCTTGCATGCGGAACCATCACACTCACGCATGGGTCTTGCATGCGGAACCATCAGACTCACGCATGGGTCTTGCGTGCAGAACCATCAGACTCACGCATGGGTCTTGCGTGTGGAACCATCAGACTCACGCATGGGTCTTGCGTGTGGAACCATCAGACTCACGCATGGGTCTTGCGTGTGGAACCATCAGACTCACGCATGGGTCTTGCGTGTGGAACCATCAGACTCACGCATGGGTCTTGCGTGTGGAACCATCAGACTCACGCATGGGTCTTGCGTGTGGAACCATCACACTCACGCATGGGTCTTGCGTGCAGAACCATCAGACTCACGCATGGGTCTTGCGTGTGGAACCATCAGACTCACGCATGGGTCTTGCGTGTGGAACCATCACACTCACGCATGGGT